AGGGTTTCTCAAGTATTACAGAAAGATATCAAGAGATACCAAAAGAAGTCGATAGTTCACAATAAAGTTGGTCTGTCTTGCCAAATAGTTTAACACTTTTCCTTTTCTTTATGCATACTCTTAAATATTTTCGTACCAACCAAGTCAAGAATATTTTTTAATTATTTTTCTAAAAAATCCTTTTAAAGAAACATTTTATTTATCTCCTTTTTTTTTTTAGATTTTAAAATAAGAGAAACATTTTTATTCTAAATTTGAATAATAATAATACAAAACACTTTTTTTGCCCCAATTTTTGTTATGAGGACTTTCTTGATTTTTTTTGGTTGGACCGAACCTCAAAATAAGGTTGCCTACGTATCTTGTCAAAGCAAGAACCAGGTCAAACATAGTTCAGGAATCATTAACAAATTTGTTTTTTTTTATGTTATAAGAAATAAACATTTTTTTTCTTGAACAAAGATTAATTATTATTTTTTTCATTTTTTTTGACATTTTTAATAAGGAATAACGTCTTTTTTTTTGAAATTTTTGAGTAAAGATCACCAAACCCAAATAGGGTTGCCTACTTATCTCATTAGGGTGAGAATCAGGTGTGCATAGTTCGTTCAGTTTGGATAGTTAAAAACACTTTAAAATATTGAAGCATGACTTGACAAATGCATTATATTTACAATTTTGGTTAAGTTGTGAAAAATCTTTTTATTTCATTTTTAGAAAATGTATAATAACTTGTAAAAGTAGAAATATTTTTGGTGTCTTCTCCCTATCTTTATACAAAATTTAAAAATTAAACTATTTTTCTCATTTCACTAATCGTCCTACAATTGGAAATCAACGACCTTCTAAATAAATGCATTTTTTGATAATTAACACATGTAACTATCTAAGTAATCAAATAATAGAGGGATACACATCCTAGACAGATTCAATCCTATGTTGAGTCACTAAGTCAATTACAAATAATAATGCAAATAAGTGGAGCCTACTAGGAGTAGCCACATTTGTGTTTCAGTTTCACTAGGTTTAACCCTGAAGGAGATAGGTGTCTAGACTAGCTTATCCGAATGGAGAACTCGAGCCAGGGAGGGGCAACTTATCAGTAGCAGCGCTATTCCAAGTTCATTGCTGGTCCAACTCCGCCTAACATATGTGACTAAATATCTTTTACTGGGTGTCAAGACACTCCAACTTTTTCTCGAGGGAAAGTAGGATGCATAATTGCATTCCTGTGAACGTGTGTTAAGTGTATTTAAAGACTCATAAGGTATATGCGAGAGAAAACAATTTAGTATAGTTCAACAGTATAAAAAGCAATAAATGAGTAACAAGTAGCACATTAGGCCATGATACGCAATATATCCAAAATAAGTAATAAAATCTAGTAAAAGTCAATATAACAAAGCTCGAATTCTTGTTATTCTCCAGCAGAGTCGTCAGAGATGTCACACCCCTTTTTGCGCACGGTGGAAGATTTTTTTCAATTTAAGTGACAGTATTGATTACAGATTATATTTTATTTTTCAAAGTCGTCACTTGGAATTGAATTATGGTGTTCCAAATCACCTTTTTGTTTAATCCCCAATCAAAAGGAAATGACTCTTTATATGGTCTGCGAACTAGAAATTCGGGTAAGAAATTTTGTTGACCGAGGGGAAGGTATTAGGCATCCCTCGAGTCCCGTGGTTCTAGCACGGTCGCTTTTATTGACTTATACTTGACTTAAAATATTTTTGGATATATTATTTTCAGGCCATGACTTATTCACATTTTTATTGTTGAACTTTTATTTGGTCTCAACCTAAAAGCGTAACCGCATTCTTTGTTTTAATATTTAATAGCTTTGAAGCATAACTGCTTTATTCTGTCGAGTGTGTTGTCTAATATTCTATGTTTCATATCTTGATTTTAATTAAATAAAATATTTTTTAGAATAATTTTTCCAAGATGTGTCACCACATCCTTGAATTTCCTTTGTGTGTTTCAAAAAAGATGGGTAACCACATTCTTATTTGAAATCATTTTCTTTTTAACATGCCTAAACCCCATCTAATGTTATGAGAAAATATTAAATAAAATAAAATAAATCTAAACTTCTAGGATACAATATATAATTTTGGATTATTTTATACTCTTTTATTTTTATTAACTCTAAAAGTTAACGTCAAAATTAAGTATACACTTTCTGATCAAACAAAACAATAACGAATTGTTAAAAATAAATATCATTTTTTGTTTGATAAAATAACTAAATAAAAAATATTTATTACTTTATTTTAGCCTAACTATACCTACTTTATCATTATTATCTAAATCAAGATAAGAACAATGTCATGACTTGTTCAATTTTAAGAGGTCATAACTAGTGAATATAAATAAATAAAATAAAAAGTAATCATTGTTAAAGCTACCTTCACTCATTAAACAGAGATATAATAACTAACAAATTGTTCATTTCAATCAAATTATGAATAAAAAAAAATAAGACAACCTGCCATAAAATTACATCAAATTCCATAAATAAATAAAAGAGATAAGGTAAAGTTGAACCTTAAATGAAGAAATAAGAACCGCAAAATCTTGACCGAAGCTTGATTAGAACGCTCACAAATCTTTTTTTTTGTGTGGATGTGTGTTGTTTTTTGGTATTGCTTTTTTCTTTGTTGATTTCCTTTTCTTTTTCTCTGTGTGTGTGTTTTTCTGATTTTTTTCTCTTTTTTTCTTCAGAAAGTTGCTTTTGGTTGTTTTTTTTGGTACGTTTTCTTTTCTACCTTCTTCTTATGTTTCCTATAGTGTTGTAGTTTAAAAGAGTGTGCAAAATATATTTTTTTTGTGATGTGCATGTGTATGTATATGTATTATAGTGGTGCTTTTAGGGAGTGGTGGTGAGGTTGTGGGGTGATGCGGGGTTGTGGGGGTGAGGGAGTGGGTATATGGGAGTGAAGGTGGATTGGGGTAGTGGGAAGATATATAATATAATATAATATAATATAATATAATATAATATAATATAATATAATATAATATAATATAACATAATATAATTGCTTCTGAGATAGATACGCCTATAATTGTGCGTATAATGGATTATTTTCTGGAATATCTTCTAGATGTATAGAAGAAGCCTCCTTTTGAGAGGTTTTTACAAGACCCGATCTTACTATGAGACAATTCTAATAGATTCACCAAGCTCGTCCCTCCTCTTTGTATAATTGGGGAGCTAGATGAGGAGGATCCGTATGGCGATCCTGATGATCCCAGGGATGATCTTCCCCTTCCTCTGGTATAGCCGCCTTTTCCTCTGACTTTGGTTACCTAAGAAGGGTCCATCCTACAAACAAAACATTTCGTTTTATTCGAATACCTCATAGTATAAATCATAGTAATTACGATAATAATCGTCAAAATTGATGATCTCTTCGATATTATGAATAGAGAAGATGTCTATCACCATATGATTGAAACGACCCCAAAAATGCCCGAAAATGTGCTTCGGAAACACCTATAATTGTAATTTCCGTATATCTCAAAATCTGTGCATGATTTCAGAAATTTGACTTCATATTCTTATTCATGGGGTCAAATTGAGTGGGAAATGGGTCTAACCCAAATTTTAGAGCAACCGTATCAAAATTCGAAAAATCGCAAAAAAATGCAATTTGGAGGGTCAACTTTAAAGGGGAATATCTCTTAGCACACAAGGAACTGGAAGGGTCACAACCTATTAAATTAAAGCTCTTTGAGTTAGCTTTGCAACGCACTTGGTTTCACCCCATTCCGAGTTAGGATGAGGAAGTTATGACCATTTTCGTAAAACTTGTCTGTGCAGATTTGCAATTTCCAGTGAGCTTTTTTTTTTTTTTGAGGCTAAGTGTTGGGGACGTTTTTTATAAAAAGGGGATATGTCCCATACTTAGTCATTTTTTTTAACTTCAAAAACACTCTCTAAGCCCTCTCCAAAATTCCACCAAGATCCTCAACCAAATTCAAACATCTCAAGCTCTAATTCCGGATTCAAGACTCAATCTCAAGCTTCAATTCTCCATTCCAATCTTCATCAAGGATTCTCCAAAGTTGAGGTATGTAGGTTTGATTGTGGAAACCTTCCTTTCCACAAGTCCAACCATTTATCCTCTATTTCTACTTCAAGTTTATGGGTTCTTATGGTTATTTATGAACTCTTGAAGTATGGAATTACTACTACACACCCTATTATGGTCTATTTTGCATATTATCATGAAATTGAATTATTATGTGATGTTTATGGTTTTCATGCTTCCATGATCAAATTATGAAGGTTGATATATATATATATATATATGTATGTTGTTGGTGGGCTGATTTATATGGATTTTGGAATTGGTTGGACTTAGTACTCTTGAAATACATGATTTTATTTACATGAACAGTAGCCCACCATGTGTTTGATAAAATGCCCATTTATAGAATTCTTAGGAAATGGAAGGTTCAATGTACGTCCTATGAGTCAGATGATTATATAATTACTGAAATGATGATGAAATGGACACATGTATATGATTTTCTCTATAACAATTTTCTTGAAAATGTCCAAATGTTTGATATGCATTTCAAGAGTCTTTGAGTAAACCAAAATATCATCAATATAAACAATGATGAAATCCAAATATGGGTTGAAAATATCATTCATAATTTTCTAAAATTCAGAATGAGCGTTTTTCAAACCAAATGGAATAACATTCCATTCGTATTGTCCAAATGGAACATTAAAAGTTGTTCTATAAGAATGTTCTTTAAATATTTGAATCTATCAATATCCTGATTTTAAATCAAATTTTGAAAATATATTGGCGTCATATATTGATAATAAATCTTTTTTATTTGGAATAGGGTACCTAATCCACTTCAAATATTTGTTCAAAGGTTTATAATTTATAACCAACCTGGGACACCTCGTTCCTTTTCAGTAGCATTGTTAACATAAAATGCAGTACAAGACCAATGTGATTTTGAAGGTTTTATCAAGCCCTTTTGTATTCAATTTCTTTTTTACATAATTCAACTAATTCGGAATTCATCAGACAAGGACGGGATTTAGTAGAAATTTCATCCTCAGAGAAATTGTCTTCATTAGGAAGAGTGACAATATGCTTTTTTTTATTACAGAAAGCACTAGGATGATCCGCACAAATATCAATTTGTTCAGAAATCAATTTAATTTTTTCTTGTACTTTGGTGGATTTCAAAGTATCACATAAGCAAGTATCACCATTGCAAGTATTGCAAACATTCATATTATCGCGCTGATTATTATCAGATGATTCAGGTAACTCAATTTCTTCTTCTGAACCTGAATAAGAATAATAATCGGACTCAGAACCAGAAGTATATAAAAAACTATAAACCTTATCATGAACTTCTTCATCAAGCTCTAAGGCTTTCAGCTTTTCAAGCTTGCAATTGGGTGCTATATGCCCAAAATTTCCACACTTATAACATTTAATCTTGGCGAGTTCCCTCTTAGACCTATTCTTGGTAAGTCTATTAGACTTACGATAAGCTTTTATCTCGTCCCGTTCTTCCTTAGATCTATGTCTATGTTTAGACCTTCTTTTCCTATAAGGTTTGTCGGGATTGGAGCCTCTAGAATCTCTATGTTTGGTTTTCTTGCTATCAGCCGAAATACCGGGTAAACCAAATTGGATGCAAAAGTCTCCTAGCTGAGATCTTTCCCTAAGCTTATCTATTTTAAGCTTTCTAGGTAACTTTAATTCATTGCACAAATTTTTCCCTTCCTGAGTGCAAACGCCTATCAGTCGACCATAAGTATAATCCTGGTAGAGAATTTCACCATGCTCATTTCTAAGCAATGTTTTAACCCTTATTGCAAATAATGGGGGAAGGCCATCTATGAACTTTGCTTTCCAATGCTCATATTTGTTTTCGGGTAGCTCCATCATCCTACTCATATAGGTTTCCTTATACCACCTGAATTCTCCTAAGGTTCTACATCGTAGACCGTTTAACAGGGTACGAACATATAGGTTTCTTTATACCACCTGAATTCTCCCAAGGTTCTACATCGTAGACCGTTTAACAGGGTAAATCTACCATTAAAATGTTCTAAAATGGTTAAGACTAAGGTATAAACAACGTCTTCTCTATCCATACCTAAGTTATCAACACCATCACTACTAGAAGTAGCATTAATCACAACAACCTTTTGCTCAAGGGTCATATGGTTATCCCACCAACTTCGAAGTTGGCCCGTAAAATCTGCAATTATCATTTTACAAATATTTCTATCTGTGTTTTTAACATTTTTACAGATAGTTGCATACATAAGCATTCTATGAACAAGAATAGTAACTTGTCTATCAGTTAGACCATCGAGGTTCCATTCATAAATCTCAGAACCGCTATAAGAGGTATTAGTCTGATTCTAGTCTCGTTCCTCTATAAGCACATCTTGAGGAGTGGGTTTGGAATAGTAATAAGTTTGCATGCTAGGCTTATGAGCAAACTTAGTATTACCACTATTCTTTTTGGGATAACCCTGAAGTTTATTAAATTCTAAAGAAACATGATTTTTAAAATCAAATGTATTTTCCATTTCATCTGCAAAACTTTCAGACAAGTCCATAGGCTTTGCACTAAATTCAAAAAACTTTTTATGAGATCCTGATTTCGTTTGTATCAAAACCTAGGAACTTTCATGGTACATATGAGATTGATGTAAAGTATACGACATAGATATGTTCTTTGTCTTCATGGATCTTGGAGAAACGAGTACTAGATTGGAAGAGGTAGATATAGCTCAAAACCTTGATTTGTTAAACAAATGGACTATTCCAAAAAATAATATTAAAACCATTTATGATTATGGTTGGTTTGATAAAATCTCTAATAAGCAATTGATTAAAACGACTAAACAATCTTTAGCGTTGAATTCGTCAAAACAGACTATTCGTTTGTTGAATAAACGAGATATTGACTTATATAAGCTTCAGTATAATTTCTTGCATATTGGTATGATTCAAATTGCTTTTAATCCTTTCACCCTTAAAGGGTTACCTGAGACATTTTTAGCTGCTTTACGTGATGCTAGAAATTTAAATTTTAGACAATCTTTGATGGGTTCGATTGAATCTACCGTGGCTTATGGTCTAGTCTACTTTAATACTCAACCTAATTTACAGTTATCTTTAACTGATGCTAATATTCTTGATGCTTTAACTTTAAATGTTAAAATGCATGGTTATAATTATGCACCTGAATCTGAATTAATTTGCTTATCTTATATAATCTATTTCAAATTACTTTCTACGTTAAACCCAAGATGTAAGTTATATGATACATCTGCTAAAACTATTTTAGTAGAAACTAATTTTTCTAGATCTAAGGTCACTACTAGGCGACCTATAAAATGGAAAGAAATTAATTTTCCAACTACTTGGACTTTGGAGTCAGTTATTCCTCCAAAATAGATGGCGGATGCAATCACTAATTCTGAGTATTCTCATATCACTCAAAATTCTGACGGAAGGATTTGTATGCAGTTTAATGATATCCCTTTTAGTAGACCTTCATTTTCGTCTGCTAGAGGATTGCCTGCTATGCATCATATTTCCCCCATTGATCTGCATATGGCCCGGCTCGTAACCGTGTTGCCTCTTTGCATACTCTCTCATCGGTTATATCTGCAGATCAAAATGATAGATTTGTTAATAAAATAAAAATTAATCCTTGTCTTAATATTGTTCATGCATATGATATTGCTTCTGATATTTTTTATAAGGATATTCCTTCTCAGTCCAAAATGGATTTTGATCTTAATAATACTTGATGATGAATGTACATCAAATAGATTTTAGCCCAGGTTCTTTGGCACTAAAGTATATTCAGAATGAATTTTTAAGTGATAAATGTAATCAGTTTAAAACTTGGTTTTTTGACACTTATAGTGCCGATGATTTAAATAATATTTCTCAAGAGTTTTATGAAACTTGTGCTTTACATAATCAAATTATATATTTTGTACCTTGGTTTATAACCACTATTTACTTTTATTCATCAACATTCTTGAACGATCTTATAAAGATGGAACTGTTAATATTATCAAGGTTGTTTACCCGCCTCAATCATCATTTATTTTACCTAATAATACTGATATAACTTTTACCGCCTTTCAAAAAATTGTTGAAGAGGATGTTGCGGCAGTCAGCATCAACGAAATTAATAATTTGATTTCTCAAAATAATTATTTGGGACTTTATGTTAAAGTTTTGGGTGAACATATTGGTTCTCTTGATAAGAAATTGGATGAATTAACTGCTTTGGTAATTCAAATTTAAAATGATGTAAAGACTTTTAATAAAGCTTCTACCTCAAAAACTAATGCGGAAGCACAGACTATGGCTACTCCTGTGCAGAGGCCTCCTGAGATTTCAGAATTTAAATTCAAATCAATTTATGATTTTGAAGATCTAATTGATAAAAAGTTTTCTGAATTTAGTGCAAAACCTATGGACTTGTCTGAAAGGTTTGCAGATGAAATGGAAAATACCTTTGATTTTAAAATCATGTTTCTTTAGAATTTAATAAACTTCAGGGTTATCCCAAAAAGAATAGTGGTAATACTAAGTTTGCCATAAGCCTAGCATGCAAACTTATTACTATTCCAGACCCACTCCTCAAGATGTGCTTATAGAGGAACGAGACTAGAATCAGACTAATACCTCTTATAGCGGTTCTGAGATTTATGAATGGAACCTCGATGGTCTGACTGATAGACAAGTTACTATTCTTGTTCATAGAATACTTATGTATGCAGCTATCTGTAAAAATGTTAAAAACACAGATAGAAATATTTGTAAAATGATAATTGCAGGTTTTACTGGCCAACTTCGAGGTTGGTGGGATAATTATATGACCTTTGAGCAAAAGGCTGCTGTGATTAATGTTACTGCTAGTAGTGATGATGTTGATAACTTAGGTATGGATAGAGAAAACGTTGTTTATACCTTAGTCTTAACCATTTTAAAACATTTTAATGGTAGATTTACCAATCAATTTGAGACTGTTCGTTCCCTGTTAAACGATCTACGATGTAGAACCTACTTTGTATGAGTAGGGTGATGGAGCTACCCGAAAACAAATATGAGCATTGGAAAGCAAAGTTCATAGATGGTCTTCCCTCATTATTTGTAATAAGGGTTAAAAGATTGCTTAGAAATGAGCATGGTGAAATTCCCTTCTAGGATTATACTTATGGTCGACTGATAGGTGTTTGCACTCAAGAAGGGATAAATTTGTGCAATGAATTAAAGTTATCTAGACAAGTTAAGATAGATAAGCTTAGGGAAAGATCTCAGCTAGGAGACTTTTGCACCCAGTTTGGTTTATCTGGTACTTCGATTGATAGCAAGAAAACCAAATATAGAGATTCTAGAGGCTCCAATCCCGACAAACCTTATAGGAAAAGAAGGTCTAAACATAGACATAGATCTAAGGAAGAACGGGACGAGATAAAAGCTTATCGTAAGTCTAATAGATTTACCAAGAATAGATCTAAGCGGGAACTCGCCAAGATTAAATGTTATAAGTGTGGAAATTTTGGGCATATAGCACCCAATTGCAAGCTTGAAAAGCTGAAAGCCTTAGAGCTTGATGAAAAAGTTCATGATAAGGTTTATAGTTTTTTATATACTTCTGGTTCTGAGTCCGATTATGATTCTGATTCAAGTTCAGAAGAAGAAATTGAGTTGCCTGAATCATCTGATAATAATCAGCGTGATAATATTGATGCTTGCGATACTTGCAATGGTGATACTTGGTTATGTGAAAATGATGAGTTATTTTATAAACTGTAATCTCAATTTGAAGATTTGAATCTAAACACTACTACTTCTGATAATGTGATAAAACTTCTAAAAGAAGTTACTGATAATAACCTTCGTGAAAAAAATATTCAATTAGCTGTTAATAATAATGCTAGTTCTTCAAAAAACTCTGAAAACAAAAGAATGATTTTGCAAATGAATATTCTGCTCCTTACTTTTTGTCTGAAATTAACAACAGACTTCATAAACAAACTATTTCCACGAGAGATTCATCTTTTGATGACTTAAAAGATGAAATTGAAAACTTGAAAAAAGAGATTAAATCTATTAAACAGAATCAAATGATATGTGATCATAGTTCGAAACTGTTAATAACAAAGGGAAAAATATTGTTGAAGATAATACTCTTGCAAACCTTTTAATCTTGATCCTAGACAAGGTGTGTTTTTAAGAATGATGCAAATTGTTATTGCTCATAAATGATATGTTAAATGCACCATATTGATTGATAATCAATTTTCCATAGCTAATGTTGCTATGATTGATAGTGGAGCCGATGTTAGCTGTATCCAATAAGGTCTTATACCTACTAAGTATTTTGAAAAAACTACTTATATGGTTAAATCTGCTTCGGGACATGCTTTAGATATAAAGTATAAATTGCCTAATACGCGCATTTGCCAAAACAAAGTTTGCATTCCACATTTCTTTTTCTTGGTTAAAAATCAGTTATACCCTCCAATTATACTTGGAACACCTTTTATAAATGCTATTTATCCATTTACTAGTATAATTGTTAAAGGATTTTCTGCAACTTATGAAAACCAGAATATTAGTTATACTTTTATCACTGACCATATTTCTCGTGATATTAATGCTTTAATTAATATGAAGCAAAAACATGTTGATTCTCTACAACTTGAATTGTTTAGTATGAATATATTTGATACTTTGAAATCCACCAAAATACAAGAAAAAATTAAATTGATTTCTGAATAAATTGCCATTGATATTTGTGTTGATCATCCTATTGCTTTTTGGAATCAGAAAAAACATATTGTCACTCTTCCATATAATGACAATTTCTCCGAGGATGATATTCCTACTAAATTCCG